AAGTTTTTTTATTATACAAAACTGTTTTAGGATAAATAAAAGTTACTGGTAATGTTTGTCACATTTTTGTTGTATCGCGACGAAAATCTGAATTATCATTGCTAACTATGGATGCAGAAAAACATCGTCTTCGAATCTTGCAAAATCTGGCATCACTTCCTGGTCAGATTAAACTTCTTTCTTGTCGTTTATACATTTTTCTAAAATTTATCACTAATTTTTTAGCCAATTTATTATAAATGTAAAATTTATTATATGTTATAATGTTTGTTCTTTTTATTGAAGGATCTCGAGATCGAATTGGTGGACCTGTGCTAATAATTAACGTTTTTCGTAACGACTTAAACGATAAAGACAAAAACAACGGTAAAATAATTTTGAAAAAAAACAAGAAATTTTTAAATATTCTAAAATTTAACTATTAATTATAATGTTGTTGATGATACATCTACAAATTTAACTTCTTTTTTTTTGTTACTACTTATAGGTAATAATGCAGTTGCTTATGAGAATATTGTTTCCCTTCTTGGTTATTTTGCACAAATACCCGAAGATCAGGCTCGATCACACGGATTTACCGTCTTAATTGACGGACGACGAGCCCCACTCAAGTATCTTCGTCGAGCACTCCGAGCATGTCAGGTAGATAGATCATTTATTGTCATATAGTCGGTAAACTATCAAAGATTGCGAAAAGTACCTCTATTTTGGTAAGCAATGTACAAAATTTTAGCAAGCTCTCTATCGACAAATACGTCAAGTGGTTATTGTGCAACCAGAACGATTTTTGGAACAACAAAAGCTTAACTTTGATCTCATAAAAGAAGCTTACGAGTTTAAGGTTACTTATTGAGTTTTACAAATTTTTTTACTGCTTACCAAAATCTTCACTGATTAATTGAATAAACAAATTTAGTGATTAATTGCTGTTTTTTAAGTCTGTTACTAAAAGCCAAATACAGCTAATCTTACAGAATACATTTTTCAGTCTAAGTAATTGCTTTTTTTTTAGACCTCACTTACATCAGTTCATAAACTATCAAAATATATTGATGTTGCTCAATTACCCGAAAATTTAGGTGGTACTTTTCGCTACGATCCCCATATATGGTATGGTTTAAGAGAGGTATGCATTTTGTAAAGTATTTTGGTTAAATTGAACAATCGCTGCATTCTTCTTTTTTTGAATTTATTCACTTGACAAAACTACTTCTGTATTTCGTACAACACATAAATAAATAAATTGAACTAAATCAACAAATTTATTACTGGAGCACCAAATTAAACTGTAATGATGCGATAATTTAAAAGTAAAGCTTAAAAAAGAGAACATAAGATTTAAAACCGAGTTAGACAAATTTAAACAATTTTAGAGGTATGAAAATTTTATTGTAAAAGCGAATAACTGGTTACAAACCACTAAAAGGCATGAAAAAGCGAGTCTGAACGAATCGGCCGACAGTTTTGACTCCAAAAAAACTATTATCGCCACTGATGAACTTTATAGAATGGGTAATTTTTTACTTGTTCAGAAACATACAGCAGAATAAAGACCTTAAAAACTATTTTAAAGAAAAAATTTTTAAACTGTAAAAAAACTGCAGTCAACAAGTGGTGAAAAAAATTTAATTACTATTTTATATTGCCAAAAAGTTGTCATTTCTTGACAAGTTTCTATAGAATAACAACAAGAATGCACAGTATCCATCTTAAAGGTAACGACCTGTTAGATGACCTTCTACCGGTCAGTGCTACGTCGTTGAAATCCGGAAATGCCGATTGGAATGATGCTGCAAAAAAAATTGAAGCACTTTTGAAGGAAATAAGGGTATAGCAACAATTGTCTTTGACGATACATGCGATGTTTAACAGTTGCTTTTTTTGTAGTCTATTTTCAGCAAGTTAGCAGCATAGTTTCAGGAATTAGAAGATGCATCTGTTCATGACAACAAAAAAGTGCAAAAAACTTCAGCTTTATCAACAAAATTTATGGAAGATTTTGAACAATCTGTCAACAATTTAGTCTCCTGGATATGTGGAGCTGGAGAAAAATGGCTTTTAACATTACATGAAATCGGTGATTCAGCAGATGATGCCAGGCAACTGGTTAAAGATCATATTGAGCTTGAAAACAAATCGAAGGTTATAGCAACAATTTTTATTCAACATTTATAATGCATCATAAATATACTGTAGAAACCAATCATTTGGCATTTTAATTTCCATATCAGTTATTGAGGATGACAAAAACATTTTTTAGGATATGATGGAACAGGTTAACGACCTAAACGATATGGCCGATAAATTGTTAGCTGAATTTCCAGAAAATTCTGGTTCCATTGAAAGTAATAAGGAACAGTTAAACAGAATTTCAAAGGCATTTTGTTCAAGGATTGAAAGGCAAAAACGAGTGTCATTACAATCTGTGCTCTTTCACGAAAAGCTGAATGAGGTTAGTCTGTTTAAGATTTTTCTGTATAGTGTTGCTTCGCTGATGTTAAGGTGAAAGAAGAAACTTTGGCACAATCAGTAGCTTCCAGTCTATATACTGCTAAGCGCTGATAATGAGCCTAATTTTTTGTTGATCAGTCTAATTTTCTGTTGATCAGATTTTTAACTACTCTAAAGTTTTGCATCACGAGAACTTCTGAACCAAACGACAAATTTATTGGTCCGGCTAAGTGTTGTCAAATTTTTCTTTTATCTATTTTTGACGTCTACAAACACTCCAATCGACTTAATATTTGCAGTAATTAGACGTCTTGATGCTTACACAACAACTGAATCCCCGCAATTGCTCTCCTATTCAGTAAAGCTCAGAGCAGTAGAATGTCCCTCAAAATTTACAGTTTTATTGACTGAAAAATGATAGAAAATAGATCATCTTTTGATGCACTACCGAAACAGAAACTAAATGTTGGTCTTCTAAAATTGTTGACCATAACAGTTAGGCAAGAAAACAGTTGTTCCTGACAGAATGACTGTTTAATATCAGTTTAAATTGTCAAAAATCTGTATTACAACAGCAACAGCAACAAAAACACAGCAATAACAATAACAAAATAATACAAATTAACACTCCTCCTTTTTTTTTT